GCCTGAATTCATTACAACATATCCAGTTCCAGCTTCTGGGAAACATCCAGATGATGGGAGATGTGATTAAACCTAGCCTTCATTTTGATCAGGGAGGGGGGGGTTGGGGTTGGGGTTGGGGGGGGGGGGGTAGGCTGCAGAGCCGCCTCACTGGATGTAAACAGCATGCTCCTCCGGTCTAATGCTGCAGCATCCCTGCGACGCACGCTGCCTCTCCCCGGTACCGGGTCCTCAGGAACCGGTACCGGGTCCAAAACCAACCCCCCACCCCCCCAGTAAATAACGCACATGTTTTAGCTGCTGCAGACACCTGACAGCCCCAAACCACCGCGGAGAAAAAAGGGAAGGCTGGACGGCGGGGGGTTAGGGGGGGGGGGGCAACACCGACCTCCATGGTCCACAGCCTGAATGCAGGTGTCAGAACCCCGGAGCCCCAGACCCGGTCCCGGGTTCGTCCTGGTACTCACCCCTCAGTTGGGTCCCAGCAGGAAGACGTCCTCTCGGCCAGCCCGGACCGCTCGTGCGCACGCAGGTGGAGGTGAGGGCATGCTAGCTCCGGGTGAGGAACTGGGTGAGGAGCTGGGTGAGGAGACGATGGGGGAGTTGTTCCAGAAGCGTCCGCCGAGCCGGGAGTGTGCGGCCGTGTCTGCGTGCATCTTGCCTGCCCCCCCCCCACCCCCTCCGCTCCGGTTCTATTGTCTCCGCATCGCTCCGTCCTCCAGGATGGGAGCGGGCGAGCGGAGGGAAGCCCCGCCCCCTCCTCACCGCTCCGGCCAATCGCAGAGCTCCTCCGCCGAGAGTCGCTGCTGCGCGCTGTCTCCATACAGACTACGCTGCCTTCAGGGGGCGTGGGAATTTTAGGGAAGCTCGAGAGAGAAGGCTAACGACGACAGAAAAAAATTGGCCTGCTGTTGATTTTTAATGCGTTATATAATTTTGATGTTTACTTTTTAAAAGCTGTTATAGCTAAGCTGTGAAAACTGCTGTGTGTTTCTAACATGGAGGAACTAAGATTAATGATCCACGTTACAGGACTTTATTGTGCCTCAGACCCTTTTAACCCTCAAGTCCCGTGTTTTGTACATATATATATCTATATAATTGATAGATCGCCCTTTATGTTGACTCCTGACTCATAATATATTCAGATTATCATGTTTTCTTGGTGAACGAGACCTAAGATAGTTCATACAAAAATAATTATATCACTGATTTTGATTTAAGATGTTACTATTACTATTTGCTAATTCGATTTCACAAAACCAAACATTCAGCATTTCTTTTAATTATTTGTTAAACATGAATCAATCACAGTATTTCCAGTCCGATGTCGAGTATTTAGATAATTTAACATTTGTAATTTACAAGCTTCACCTGAATGCAGCGTGAGATTTGTACAAAGGGGCAGCTATGCCTGCCAGAAGTGTCCCACTTCTAATCTAAATGTGGCATTTATGAGAACAAATATCACACGCTTGTTCTTTTTCTTCAGAGAGTTTTTCTCAGTCCCGTTAAACAGAGAGACACATTTCATCCAGAACCTCTCTAATGACGTCCTGTAGATTCCTACAAACACATACTCTAATACTCAGTGTCCTGCTATTGATTTAGTCAGCACATTCCTCAAAGGCTGGTGCTTTTAGGGCAACTGGTCCCTGTTTTTTTAAAGGGTTGCACTGGTTTGTGCAGTCTTAGAGCTGTCCATCCACACTCCTGATCTGAATATATAAAAATGACCATCCAACCACTGCACAGACACAGAGGTCTGTCCACCAGCTCCCCTATGCAGGAAATCACAGCAGACAGGAGGAGGGAAATATCTGCAGGTTTGGGAATATAACAAAATAATACATCATCCCCTAACAGGATCGATATCGATAACAGTATTAATGATGTCTGGGGGGGAGCGGTGAGAGGCGCACGCCGCCGTGCAGCTGGCTCCACGTGACGCTGTAATTACCTGAAGTGCTGGCAGCGTGTAGGGGCCCGTCCAATCAGCTATGGCTTCACTTGATTTAGCCTAACCTTCAGCTTTCATCACTTTATCTGTCAGAGAGCTGGAAATAGCCGAAGCAGTCAGTACAAAAGACGTAACCCCCCCACGCTGTGTGATTATTTACAGACAGAGACATGATTCAGCTGGATTTTATTCGAAAAAGGAATGTTGAAGTATAGCTGAGAGTTAAAACATCATTCTATGGCTAACACCGAAAATGAAAAAATAGTGGGACAGACTTAAAAAGACATAGAAAACATTTTTTTTCGACCACCGGTTCGTGGCGGTGGTCCAGTGCAAAGGTGTGTCCGGCCCCCGGAGGCTGCTACACAAACAGGTAAAGTGCCAGTTCTTTGGTGTGCAGGAGCTGGGCCAGGTTCTGGATGCGGCACAGGCGCACGTTGTGCGCGTCCCCGGCGCTGTACACCCGGAACACGTGGTAGCGCTCCCGCTCCTTCAGGGCAAAGTCCAGCTCGTTGGCCGACAGGTGGATGAAGGACCGCTCCTTCTTTATGGTGGACTTGACCTCCACGAACACCACCCCGGCGGGGCCGGTCAGCTGGAAGTCGTAGGGCTGACCGCTCTCCCCGCTCTGGTTGCACCACAGGACGCGCGTGGGCCGCCCGGGGTCACTGCCGTCCCGCCAGTGGCACAGGAAGGAGTGGACCAGCTGCTCGCCCCACTCGCCGATGGCCGCCACGTCCATCGGGTCATCGGACAGCACGACCTGCAACAGAGAGGCGGGGACAGAAAAGTGTGTTTCAAAAGATGTTTAAGGTGAGGCAGACAGAATATCACAAATATTTCCATCTTTAATGCTTCATTTTTTTAAATATCAGTAGCAAACGTGTTTACAGATAAGTAAATAAAAGAAAAACAACAAATGGGAGAAACCTTAGATACAGTGGGGGAAATAAGTATTTGACCCCTTGCTGATTTTGCTTATTTTTCCTCATCAGATGGTTATCAATTTTTATAAATTCATATGATGTGAATTTCTGGAATTTTCTTTGGGATTCTGTCTTTCACTGTTAGAATGTACATATGATTAAAGTTATAGATCGTTGCATTCTTTGTAAGTGGGCAAACCTGCAAAATCAGCAAGGGGTCAAATACTTATTTCCCCTACTGTATATTTACATAAATAAGTAAATAATGCCTTTGTTAAATTAAAAAATAAGTCAAAATAACCCTTATCCCTGACCCACTGCCCTACTACTCAGCTTGTCCTGATTCAGGAGACAAATAGGTGGACATTTGAATAAAGTCTAAATTAAAAAAAGAACCCTATTGCAGACAGCCCCCCCCCCCCCCCAGCTTGAGAGTGAGCGGACTGACGGTGGTGGGCCTCTGGCAGGTGAGCTCCACGTCCTCCAGCGTGGCCTGGGAGGGCTGCTCTCTGCTCCAGAGGGGGAAGTCCAGGTTGAGGGGGGGCCGCTGGGCCTCGGCGCCGGGCGGGGCCCCCTGGAAGGTTCCGGACACCAGCACGGCTTCAGGGACGGCTCTGGGTGAGACAGCGCAGAGTTAGGAGGGAGAGGGGGGGGGCAGAGAGAGCAGGCAGGTGATGGAGCGGATGGGGGCGGAGCCTACGGGGTGCTGGGGGGCGGCGGGTCGCTGGGAGCCTCGGCGGGCTGCGGGGGCGGGGGGCTCCGCCCGGGAGCGGTGGGGGGCTCCGCCCCGCCCTCTGATTGGGCGGTCTGGCTCTGCTGGCCGCGCTCTGCTGGACCTGAACACCAGGAGGACAGAGCAGATGGTCAGCTGACTGTTCTGAGCACGCTCAGTGTGAAGGACCCCGGCGGGCAGCGGAGTCTGCTCTGTTTCACGTGGAGCGTTAAAGGGAGAAACGGCCCTGTGTGACCGCCATGTTCCCCCCATCTGAGGGATTAAAAACAGCTGCATCCGCAAATTAAAGCTGCACTAATTCATTTAGCTGCCCTTTAGAAACAAATAACAGGACACACGTTTTCACCTTGGTAGAGCCGACATGCTCAAGCTAGCTCTGTATCTCTACCGCTTTAAGGCCTCGTGTCTGTTTATACAGGAAAACAAGCCGGATCTATTGGAATATATGGAATTCAATTCAATTCAATTTTATTTATATAGCGCCACATCACAACAACAGTTGTCTCACAGCTTTCCAAACAGAGCAGGTCAGACCCTACTCTGAAGTTAATTACAGAAACCCAACAATTCCCACCATGAGCAAGCACTAGGCGACACAGGCAAGGAAAAACTTCCAGGAAGTAAAAAACAGAAATATAGATTAGGATGCAAAAAAAGAATTTTGTACGATTCTTAAAATCCTGAGAGTGGATTTGTGGTCTGAACTGTGAAGAACCCTCATCCTGTGAGTCTTCAGGAGCTGCTCTCCGGCCCTTGAAGGACATCCCTAAGCTCTTCCTTGGATGTTGGCTGCCTTTTGTTCTATTTTCTGTCAAAATCATCCCACGCTGCTTCAATAATGAGCTTTGGGCTCTGGGGAGGGTTCATCTGTCAGCCTCTCCTCTAAGTTTCCCTCCCGTGAGAAGGGCTCCTCTCCCCTTTTCACTTTTCAGATATTGTTTGCCTGCTGTAGACAGTTTTTTCAGACCTGACTCCTGTCAAGCTTCCTTGTTATTTAAAAGAAAAACTGCACACTATGCTGAGATATTTTTTCCTGCTTTTTTAAGCAGTTGGTGATAAAAATCCTGTCCTGTGTCTCTGGGATGATCCAGAGATGAGTTATAAGCTTTATAGGTTCATCTGAAGGCGTGGAAAGGATTGAACTGTCTTTGTGGGAGGCTGTTAGGAACAAAGAGCCTTTGCTTGAATGATTCATAATTTAGTGTAATGTGGTTTAACAAATGGGAACTCAAGAAGTGGACTGAAAGGGAGTAAAAAAGCAGTTCATGTCTGAGGAAAACTCAAATACTGGATTATAGTCTGGAGAATTTTAAGGGACTTCAAGAAAGTCTGTCTGGAAACAAAGTTTGAAGAAAACAGGAGGTACTTTTAGAGTAGGATAACTGTGGATTCTAGAGGGTTTGTGGGCACCTGGGGGCCTGGGCGTGGGGGGGCTGGGGGCTCCAGTGTGAGGCGGTCCGGGGGGTCCCGGGACCCTCTGTGGGTCCGGGGGTCTGGTGCTGCTCCTGGGAGGCTGCTCCCCGTCATGGCCGCCTGCTCTGGGGCTGACCTCCCTGTCCGGGTCCAGGTCTTTGGGCCCGGCGGGGGGGGGCCACATCTTCATGACGGCCTCGACCGCACTGCTGTCGGCCTGACCTGGAGCACAGTGAGAAACAGGGTTTCTTTATTTCATTTTTCCTCTTTTTGGCAGACAGATAAACATACCAATCAATGACATCAAGAAAATGATAGGCATACATCAGTTTTCTGTCCCAAAGAAACAACAACACACAAACCAAAATAAAGAGGAAACGAACAACAACAAAAAAAAGATTACAAAATAAAACCAAACACAAACAAAGTGCCTACGTTATACCACATATCAAACCTAGACCTCTGAGCAACTCAAACCGCTACAGGAGTATCACATATTTCACATTTATCTAGTCCTGTCTTCTATATAATTCAAAACTACCCCCAGACCTGGTTAAACAGCTCTTCTCTTCCTCTACTTCTGAAGGCTACCCTCTCATATGAGGCCACTTTAGTCATCAGCTCTGTCCACTCCTTAAAACAGCAGATGTTAGCTTGTTTACAGCCTCAGTATGATCCTACGTCCAGTTAAGGTTGCTCATCGTATCCAAAGCCCCTGTCTCCCAGATAGACTAATGTTCTCTGGTAACACCCCCAAAATACACAAGGCAGGAGATTTAGACAAATTAAGTTTAAATAAATCATTAAATACAGGGAAGCTGATCATTTTTGTCACAGCCATATGAACTAAGGGGCCCACATGGAAACATGGTTTCTAAACGTAATTTGTTTTTGTAATTTTGGCAATTTCCTTGTGAACAAGTATGTGAACTACCTGCACGGCTGCTTCCGGTGCTCAGGATGGACGCTCTGGGGGGCCAGCAGACCAGAGTCTGCTCCCCGTCAGCTGGAGTGGGCGGGGCTTGCTCCTCAGATGAGCTCATGGAGGAGAAGCTCCTCATCGGCACTGCTGGAGAACCATTACCAAAGGGGGAGAAAAGAAAAGCCAGGGTAAAATTATGCAGATTATGAGCCACTTTCAGGATTCTTATGTCATAAAAACAGGTTTTGCTCGGCGAAATCCTTTGATCACAATAATCCTTGTGGATGTGTGTGTGTGTGTGTGTGTGTGTGTGTGTGTATCCTGTGCTCCTCTTGGGTCTATAGCCCTGGCAACAGCTGCTCTTTTATGTTGCCTTACAGAAGAGTGAACAAACCTGCATTAGCATATGTGAGGAACACAGCAGCTCTGTGTGTGTGTGTGTGTGTGTGTGTGTGTGTGTGTGCGTGCGTCTGAATCTGTGAGGGGATTGTTTGTGTGAGGCTGAAGCAAATCCCTGCATGTTATGAGATGGAAGACGGAAATCAGGGCGAGTGTCACAGAGGAAATTGGAGGAAGTTGTTAGCATTCGTCTCATGCTCCAGTTTCAGGACTAACTATATTCCCCATCAGTCCCGTTTTAACTTTACCCTTTAACTGTCATATGAGCCATCATTTGAGACAGTTCAGCATAAAGACGAGATCACACATGCAAAGTTTATCTGCTTTTTCTTCTTTGAACCGGCTTCACTTCCAAGGCTGCTGTTGCTCATTTGGTTTTTAGATACTTTCTCACTTTCTCATATATGGACACAGACCTCTAACCTGCTGAATTCTTTTCTGATAAATATTCTGCAAACCCCATTTCTAGAAGAGTCAACAAACAAACATAATTGGTACATTTCTTTGAATCTGTATTATATATAAACAAATATGTAAGAATAAAATCATATTTATCATTTTTTTTATCATCAAAATTAACTGAATTTTTTTAACTGTGGCAACACACTTTGAGAGTTTTGGAAAAGAAGAAAAGAGAGTTATAACAGAAGATTCTCCAATCATCAGATTAATTGAGGGTGTGTATAAAAGTATAAAAGGAAGAGTCATCAAATCTCCATCTTTTCAGCAGTTAATCATGGGTAAATAATCTTAAAGAAAGCAGGGTAAATTCAGGGTGCCTGACAATAAAACATTTGATGATCTTGGAACGTTGGAGGCATTGCTAACAGATCATGCAGTAATGGTTTCTTTAACCGTACGGGCTCAGGAAACCATCTTTACTCAACACAGAGCAGCACTGCATTAAACCTGAATGTTACACAGAAAACACAAGTAATTAAAAATTACTTCTGGATTTGAGCCCATCTGAGACAGAGCCCTTGACTTAAACTGGCTGGACTCTCGTCCACTGAGTCTGGACATTTGAAATCCCTGTTCAACACTAAAAACAATCCGGGCTCCCTCTGAGATAAAACTCGGTATTTCATGCATGGATGAGTGTCTGCTCGGTATTTTAGTGCCTGACATGATCCCCTTGTGTGATCGTAAGTGCCTACGCATCTCAGATGAGAGCTTGGAGACATGTATTGGAACATAACAGCCCCAAATACAGCTGAAGAAGGGTAGGACAGATAAAAGAACTTGACATCCAGTCTTAGAGCCGTGCACATCCTTTGTTTCTTTGAAGACACGTTATTACTGCTACTTTTGTCATTGCCGGGGTCTTTGACAGGATTTGAGCATTGTTGTTTTAGGGTCTTATTTTCTTTTTGTTGGCTTAATTTTGTTTTGCTATGTTTGTTTTTTGTATTTGTTTCTGTTTGTTTTTCCTTCTGTCATTTAATTTTCAGCTGGTTTTTGCACTAATACTCAGCATAGTACCTATGCTTACAGATTTCTATGCAAAACATGTAAATAACTTTCCTATTTTTTTTCCCTTTTATTTAAAATTCAATAAAAAGATTGGTGATTTAAAACAAAAACAACTGAATACACGTCATTAATACCTCGGCCACGACTCGTTCTTGATGGTAAAGACAGATTTTGGGTGGGCTGTTGTTTTCATCCTGTTCTAGAGGAGTGGTAGAACATCATTTCTTGGAGTAATAGACTGTCAGATTTGAAATCCGGAAAGCTCGTCCCGCAGAAAATTCTATTACATAGAAATAATCAATCTCTCTGACGTGTTTGTAACCTCAGAGTTGTGGTTCCCTTCTAAGAGTAAAACTGCTGATCTTCCTTACTTTCTTGCCATCAAGTGCCGTTTATGCAACAACAGTAGATTTAACTATCACGTGTTTTTGTGTGCTGTGAATCTAAATCTACTTATAATTTATAGCCCTGAGACACAGAGCTCCACAGTTAGGGTTAAAAATATACCATCAGGACAGGCCGACATGTTCCTTCACCACAACGAAAACGCACAACGCAGTTTATTTCGCTTCATTCCCACACACTGTTCCTGCTGCCGCAAATAAACACGCCGGGGACGGAAACGCACCATGAAAAATGCTATTTCTCCTGGTTTAAATCTGCTCAAATTCCCAGCAGCTGGTGAATGGGGTTTTTTTCCTCTAAAAATGAATTAAATGATGATGAAAGACTGATGAATCAAAAAGGAAATCCCAACGCGGTGGCCAGAGTTGCACCTCTCTAAGGTAACAGTTATTTTGGAGGGTGAACACTGCAGGTTAGGTGTTGGAATAGGTCCGGGTTTTGACAGTTTTGGAAAGAAGAAAAGAGAGACGTGAAAGCAGATTCTCCAATCAACAGAATAACTGATGACCGGTGAGGGTGTCAGGATTGGGTATAAAAGGCGGATCCACCAAAGTCTTAGTTGTTTTGTTAGATAATCAGTTGTAAATAAATACAAATCTTAATGCAAGATTTTCCTCTGTCAGCTTATGCAGAAAGTAACATTTTGAGAATATTTGAGATTCAGTTGAGGGATTAAGAAATTCACTTCAGTACTGAACAGTTTCCCTTTTGGTTCACTGAAACAAACGACTGTGTTTGAGTCTTGCGTACCTCTATCCATATTCATCTCTGGTCGGGGGGGCTCTGGGACCTCCCACTGCTCCTCCTCACTGGGCAGCTCTCTGATGTCTTCTTTGTTCAAGAATCTGCTCAGAGCTTTTGGATCCTGCATGTGCATTTAGTTCAGTTACTTATGAAGAGAGCAATAAACCCACAGCTCATTTTCAACAGAAAGATTAGGCATGAATTCAATTTTACGCCTCATTTACATTTTTCTGGTAGACATTTTTTAGTTGTTTATAAGCACAGACTTATTATTACATGAAAAACACAGAGCTGATCCATTCAACTTTTGTTTTTTCATAAACATGAACTACATGGTAAGAAAAGCTATGAGTAGATCTTGCCTGTCTCACCTCAGATTCTCTTGTCAGAAGGTGGCACAAAACATAATTATCAAAACTTTGATGATCTAATAAACATAATCTACTGGTGTGATACATTTTCAAGCATAATTTAAATGGTAAAGTAATAAGCGGACATCCTAAGGCTGATCTATCAACACATTTCATTCACCCTCTTCCATTTTTCTGAGCCCAGTTTATAAATGGATGTAATCATGTCCCAGTCACAGCTAAAAATGTCAGTGGGTTAGGGATCGATACATAAAAGTCTGTGTTTCACTTACATGGAGGCAGGTTATCAGGCTGCTCACAAATTGCATCAGATCTTTCCTGTGGCTGCTCTCAGTGCAGAACAGCTTTACCAGCTCCCTGAAACACACAGAAAAACATTCCCAGCTAAAGCCAGATTCTGCAACCGGAATAACAAAAGCAAAATACACACTTAAACGAGCATCAACGATATCCCTTATTCCAAAGCTGTGTTTACATAGTTTCATATATTCTAAAATGTCTTGTGCTGAAAATAATCTGTTTAAAAAGACAAAAAAGTTATTTGGTTCTTCACAAACGTTGGTATTAAAACCTAAGCTGACCTAAAACATATATCTCATTACATACATTATGGTCTAATTAAAGAAAACGCTTTATGACAAACTGAAAACCAAAAAAGTCCATTCGCAATATCCAAATCAGTTTAAGGTCCCAGCTTTGATGAAACCATAGCAAAAAATATTTTTACACATTCTGCTTACAAAGATTTTCTTTCCAATAGAGGGATGACTCATGTGTCCTTGTTTGTCTAGCTGCAATTACCTCAAATTAAAATGACAAATTTATATTAGGGAATAGAGAAGAACACGTGAAGGTAAAGGCAACATTCAGGTTTTTGGCAAATTTTCTGGCATATTTTGGTCTTTAAGTTAAAGCAAATAAGCACGTTTTTCATTTTTGGCTCCCGGTACATGAACTCTAGTAAAAAGTTGTTTTGTTGCAGGAAATCTGGGTAAATTCCAGCATTCCACTTCAGCCTTCAACACGTTTTCATGACATGGAACTAATTCGACCACAGCAGAAAGTGTTAAGCCTCTTTCCGTCCCACACAAACCTGCAGATATCCAGCTTGGCGGTGAGGTGATCTTTCTGAATATAGAACTCCTTCTCATCCTTCAGCAGGCAGATGACATCCTGCAACTCTATCAGTGGATCCTCATCGTCAGCCACGTCCAGTTGATAGCGGATGTAAAGCTTGCCCACCTGTAATTAGACGGCCACTTAGAGTGTTCTGCCTTCAAACTTTAGGAGGTAATGAAGACATAGGAACCATGGTGGAAGCTAACAATCAGAGATTCTTCCTGAAAAACTACAACTCCCAGTAAAAAGAGGAGTAAAACAGATTCCTTCCTTACCTGTCCAAAATGCAGGTGTTTGATTTTCTGGGCTATATTGCGGTGTGTCAGCTCTGAGTAGACTTCCCCCAGTTCGTCATGGTGGTAGAGGAACCTCTGAATGTACGGGACCACCGAGCGCACCATGGCCTGCATGGACGGACAGGGCCTGAGGTTCTCAGTCTGCGCCTCGTATATGACGCACTCCGAGAGCTTTCTGACACCACAGATCTCCAGAAAAGTCAGTCTGTCCCACTCGTTGAAGGCGGCCATTGTAGCTCGATCGCCGGCGACTGAATGACCTGATAAGAAGCCACAAAGCAACGCTCGGAATCCTCATTCTATCTTTGCGTAATGTCAGTAATGAGAGTAGGAAGTAGCGGCAGCCTACCGGTTTTGTTTCTGGGAGCGGCCTTCTTCTCTGCTGCTGGCAGGTTGAGCAAACACACCTGCTTGTGATGTTTGAAAACCTTCTCCAGCTCTTTGTCGTCGCTGATCATGGGTTTACGCGCCAAACTCACCCATCTGTTATCCTTAGTAGGGAATACCCACTTATCCGACACCATTCCTAAACACAGATGGAATTTATGCTTGGATCAGAATGTTGAATGAAAAACATAAACACGTATTAAACCCTTTAAAATAGCATCCACAGAGAGTTCTGACTTTCAGCCAGATGCTCATTTAAAATGTTTCTACTACCACCAAATACAGTTTAAACAAAAAATCATATTTGGCAGCAAAGGAAAAATAAGTCAACACAAAGATCTGATCAACTGAGAGCAGACAAACCCTCTGCTGATCCCACAGATTCCAAGTTTCACAGAGTAAAGACCAAGATTCACCTGAACCAGCAGCAAAAGAAGACTAAAACCAAATATCTGTCTTACCTTTGCTACCTTGATTTCAAAACTACAATGAAGCGAAATAAAGTCCATTTACCACACTACTCAACTCCCCAGCCAGCTTTGAGAGCTAATGAGGTGATGTTAGCATCATTTTACTGGATAACACAATTACAAAAATCGGTAAATCCAAATCTGCCAATGGAAGCAGGGCAAACAGTCAAGTGTAACATGAAAAACGAGATTTACTGTGTATGGATAAGTGCGAGCGATTCCTTAGATATCAGGCACTTAAGATTAAGTTTAATCCGTCCAGTCATTCCACGCCTACGAAATCTCAATTTTCACATACATGTCGATAAAAAAAAAAAGCTTTATCCTACTGTGGGAAAATGTAAGGTCATCGATGCTACAGAATGTTTTAAAAAGTTATAATTGTAGCTGATAAATAATCATAAGTTTAGCTTTACGTTTATACCAAGATGTTTTCAACATATTGGTATGTATTTGCAGATTAATAATCTATTAAATTTGTGCAGGTATTTTTAAATCAGGAACCCCTTGGGGCTTGACAGGCTAGGTCCTGATGATAATCTGGTAAAAGTCCCCAGAAATAGGTGGGTGCTTACATCATCAATGCCCATAGCAGAGGGCAGTAGAATGTGGGATAGGTTTCACACCCTTAAGACAGTGTTTCCTACATCCTCTGATTAATCGGCACTACAGACACACAGATCACTGCTTTTAGTCTGCAGAGTCAAGTGTTTTCAGGCTAGCAGTATTCCATTTTCCTGAGCGGTGTAACAACATGTGCCCCTTTGACTAAGGGTTAGTCTGTCAGACTGGAGTGGTAATGATGGCGGAGCTGGGTTTGCTTTGCATGCTGCTCACCTTTCAAAGTGGAGCAGTAGCCAGGATGGAACTGAGGAGTATTCTCCTGGTCTCCAGATGGTTGATTTTTACACTTTTGAGCTGTAAAGAGACAGAGAGATATTCAACAATCTCTCATTCTAATAAGTATAAGTCAGAGAAATGAGGAAGGATGCAACAAGTCATTCAAGTTTGACAGAACATACAAGCTGTTGAGAAAGAACGCAGTGAGCTGCCGGCAGATGGGAAAGAGTGAGCCAGGAAATGCACGGAAGAGAGTGTGAGAAAATGTCTGAAAACAAAAAGCTGGCAATCAAAATGCCCATACCAAGTCTGGCATAGACTACCGACACATCCTGCAGGACCTCGGCAGTTGGCATGTCGGAGGAAGAGCAGATGAGTTCCAATAAACCGACGTACTGCTTCATGGTGGGGCTGGGATCCACATTCAGCTGCTGTATGTGCAGAACACCAGACATGTGTTGACACTTTGCTTTTAAATTAGGAGGAAAAACAAGAAAGAGCCAACGGCCTTTAAAGTGCCATTATTGGTCCATGATTCCGTTCCATGAAAACATTGAAAAAATGCAGCTAATTCTCCCCCTCTGCTCACATTTTTGGCGTTAGCTTAAAAGGCTGACAAGCTAGGCAGGAATTTGCAAGTCTGTTTTAATCTACCTCAGTTTTTAATCAAGGCACCATTAGCGCAACATAAATCTGCTACCGCTGTCTTTGTGGTGTGGGACAGCAGAAACTGAACAGCAATTACCGAAAAGGGTGAGAAACTCAGCACACGGTTGGACAGCCTATGTGAGCTATCGACCTCAGAGAGGAAATTTGTTATGCACCTGTTTTCAAAAACTTTACGTTTGAGATGTTCATTCAACACAAACAAATTTCAATTCTGTGTCTCGGTGATCAGAACTAGTTATCTGGTAATTTACTGGTATCACAGGGACACAGAGAGACTCAGTTATGATTCCACATGCCATTACGGATCTCACAATTTATAAATAGTAAGAGATTTACTAGATTTAAACAGCTGTCTGTGCAGATTAAGCTTCAAAAAGCAGGATCGTGTGCGTGTGCGTGTGTGTGAGAGAGACTCAGCCAGCCTCAATTTAACAGGAGGGAAATGTGTTCTGTGCAACCTATTTGTAAAAGCAAATCCACAAAGTGCTTCTGTGCGAACTGCTTTCTACAGAGCAGCTTACTCTGAGGAAGAAGTCTCTCATGTCCTCCAGCTGGTGGTAGAAGGGAGCCAGGACTTTGGGATCCTGGACGGGGCTGTCCGGTCTGTGGGTCAGCTGCCTGTAGCGCTGGAACATGGTGGTTGTGTCACTCCAGCACACATCCTTTAGGTGGTAGAAGCGTCCCGAACACCACTTCTCATTACGTCTGTGGAGGCAAAGCGTGCTTTGGTGACTCAGAAGGTCAAGGTTTGACATCAGTCTTTAAAAAAATCTGTATAAGACGCACGTGTTTTTCTCTACAAACACTGCAGGGGTGTGCTGGAACAGCTCCTTCAGGCTGTGCTGGGAACATTTTTCCCTCAGGAACGTGTAGACGCTGTGGATGTGCTGAACTGTAGTGGTGAACGTTGCTCCCTCTGCCTCATCCTGGTGGTCGGCCGCCGGCTGGACACACCACTTCTTCAGGTAATCGATCAGCACCTCCACTGAGACGCTTTCTCTCATGCCTACAAAACGAGACAGAAAAATAAGCCCCTTAACAACGAATGCCGGCGTGGACCTGCAGCAGCATCTGTGAAGCAGGCTCACCTAAAGCTCTGCTGAACTCGCTGGGCTGTATGTCCACGTAGAATACATGAGTCCCCAGCAACTTGGTGACTTCAGGTGACCTCAGATAAACGGAACTTGGACTGAGGTACTTCCTCTCCTGCCCTTCTTCCTCCAGCGGGCGATAAGCCGGCACCCACTCGAGGTGGCACAACATGTGGTAGAAGGAAGACTTGGTGGGTTTGATGGGCCGTCCATCACTGTCCACCACCTGGGCTGTGAGGTACTGAGAGTAGCAATGTCTGTGGGGACGGGAGAGGAAACAGTTGGGTAAAAGCACAGAACACGCAACCACATCTGTAATGAGAGGAGATATATTCACTTTAAATAACTATACATATATAACTCAGTGGATATTTGTTAGGCAAACTGGTCAGTTGACTATCCGTTCTGTGGACGTTTTTGTGGAGTTATAGTAAAATACAAAGGTATTTGAGCCGTGTCTGTCTAAATTCCCTGTGGTGGAATTTACCATCCAGTTATGCTTTTCTGGTGACTCTTTAACAACTTGGCTCAATTCAATATAACTCAGGAAAAGATTATGTGAAGGGGAGATCAATAGCTGTCCGGGGTCCAGCTGCAGAGCAGGGAAATGTACATACTGCAGAGTAAAACTGCTGCTCTAACATGTTTCTATTAGTCTGGTGTGCGATCACGGTGAAACCTCTCTTCCCACAAAGATCTAATCAAAGGGTTATGAGCGCTACAGATCTCAAAAGAAGCAGCATGGGGAAACTAAGGAGCCATGTGGAGGGGTTCTGCTTGTACAGAGGTGTAAAAGAATGTTCGCGTTATTCTGAGGTCTTCGCTTTGGGGCAGGAAGGCGGGTGTAAGGCCGCCTTTGACGAGCCCATCACAACGCCACAAAGTCACTAAACATCCTTTGTATGGGAGATAAGAAAAACTCAAAGTGTTTGTATTATTTTTTGTGCCCTATTTGTTGTTTTTGCAGCATCTACATTCACTTCTGTAATGACTCAGAGGAAGGAGGAAAAACCTGGACACTTGATGGCATGTGTCACTTGTAGCATAAATCAAGAATTAGCTGTGGCATACAAAAAAAATGGTAGAAGAATTCACTTAAATTAACTAAATCCACATGATTAATGTGATAGCTCTCTGACTCAAACTGTTACAGCCTGCATAAGTATTTTTTCTTTTTTAATTCCAACACAGTAATCACTTTGTGATTACCATGTCATGATTGTCATGATAGAGATAATGTGGATTAGCATCTGCAGCCAACTAACCCCCGAGTCATTAACACAGACATTAACTCTGGCTGATCCTAATAGACCTCTGGTAAATCTGATGGAGGCTGAAAGGGGCAAAACATTCGGTAGACACAACATGACTGAGGAGGAGAGACATGGAAAGTATGCGTGCCCTGCAGGGCGAGCGTTACCCGCTGTCCCAGTTGCTCTCCAGCAGCTCCAGCAGAGCCGTCCTCTGCTGCAGGAGGACGGAGCCGGGCAGCTGGGCTGCGGCCAGGGCCTGCAGCTCCTCGCAGGGGTAGTCATCCAGCACGCACTTCTCCCCGGGGGGCTGGCGCCACGCTCCACTCTCGGCTGACCAGATGCTGGAGGTCTGATGGAGGAGGGGGGAGGGACCCGTTATTAATGCCAGGTCACTTTGTCTCTAGCCGGTTGGACTACTGTAATGGCCTGGTCACTGGGCTCTAAGCCAGCTGTGATCCAGCTGCAGAACATCCATAATGCTGCTGCTAGAGTTCTGACCACAACCAGGAAATACAACCACATCAGTCCAGATATCAACTCTCTGCCACTCAGAGAACAGACTCTAAAACAGCTCTGCTTGTGTACACGTCTCTTCATGGTCTGACATGTTAGAGCCAGATAAACCAGCTGGACTCTGAGACTTCTTGGTTTTTTTTGTATTCTCTGTGAAGCACTTTGAATTGGCTAGTACACAAAATGTGCTGTTGAAATAAACTTGCCTTGCCTAATGACAGGATGGTTCTCAGAGCTGAGAGTTTAATCACAGGAACTGAAATCCCTTGTCCCATGGGCAGCGGTTAAAGCAGAAACATAGGCGTTTTCCAGATCATTCTGCACAGACGTACTAAGCTTGATATTTGAATGTTAGCTCTGGGTGTTTGCTGTACTTTTAAGCCTGAGCCACCTCGGTGCCTACAGTGGTCACACGATGACAGACGGCGTTATCGCAAATCCACGCTCTGTCCTAGGTTGCTTAAAACAGGCTTCAGGAATGTGAGGCAGCCGCTGCTCTGCCTGTGACGCATCCCATCAGTCACCTGCTTTTACTGCTCATCCTCAGGGCAGATATTGATCTCTCTGTCCGGCCCTGACTCAGAAGCCCTCGCCTCCTGGCCCTCAATCAGCACCCTGTATGTCACCACCACTCCCAGCTGTCCTGTCACAGTCCTTCTTTTATCGCATGCTCTCACAGGCAGAATGCGCTGGGTGTGTGAGTAAGCCCTCCCTACCAGTTCTTCAGAACTGAGCGTTCGCCTCTCTTTGCGGATGATGAGGCCGTCCCTGACCCCCAGTTGGATGAAGAGCTCTCTCCATCCTGCCACGTCGCCGTCTGTCTGCACGTAGCAGGGACTCAGCAGGACCCAGTCGTAGCCTGGGAGAGGGAGAGCAGAGGGTTAGCAGGATGTGGAATAATGTTTGAAAAAAAGGCGCCGTGCGCCTGCCAAACAAAGACAAGCGGCGTCCGGTGGTTAGCCTCTGATACTAGTCATTAGAGCAGAGAGTGACATCATTTAAATTAATCTGCTACACTGCCTCTCAGTGCTGCCAAATGGAGGGCTGTGACATTGGTTTTCAATACAAACAGACTCCCTGTTTCTGACAGGGGTGCAGAATGTGAAGAAACAAGCCTGGGAGGTGAAATTCTTTTAGCTAAGGGAAATTATTTAAAGTAGCTAATCTTTCACATCAAAGAAAACATGATTAAAAAAAGAATCTGAGCATAACTTTATATCTTTTACACATTTCAGAGCTGATGCGATTTCAACTCGGTTTTATCCCCTTAAGTGATATTTACAGCAAAACAACACAACTGAGCCAAATAGCTATAATTCAACTGAATTTACGTATTGTGTTTTTTTTTTGTTTTGTTTTGTGGTGTTGGTATGAAAAAGGGAAGGCGTGTCCCCACCGGGCAGCTTCTTTGTCAGGTTGATGTTGCTGTACTCCTCGGAGAAGTGGACTCTCTCAGTGACTGGGCAGCTAAGACCCCTGCAGGTGAGGACGGGCACTGCCATGTCTGAGTACTCCTGAGAGGAGGAGGAGTGCTGCTTGATGAACACCAAGTAACTCACGACCACCGACTCTGCCTTTGACTTGTGTTGGTAGGAAAAAAAACGGATATGACGCCCAACAAAAGAAGAAAAAGAAAAAGGGAAAGCATATTTAAGTTGGTGTTACTGACCGCTGCTTTGTGGTGTTTTCTGATGATGAGATGTGTGTGTGTGTTACCTTCCATTTGTTGTTCTTAATGGTGGGATAGATGTGCTCCTCCAGCAGCTCCTGGGGCTCCAGTTCGTGAACTCCGAGTCTTTTGAGGAGCTCTCTGACCTGTTGGTTTTCCAGGGGCTCCAGACAGTTCAACAGAGATGGGTGAACCACATTCACATCCTTGTACAAAGCAGACAGCGGCCCTTTATAAAGACAACACACAAGGCAAATAGATCATTAGCTCAGCCTTACTTTAAGGGCTGGATTGAGGGATTTACATGCTTACCATGTCTTAAAAAATGTTCAGTTCTGAAAAGAGCAAAATTCCTCATTTCCATTTGGTTATCAGTTGGATTTAGTGATTTTTGGCACGCTCCAAACAAATCCAGCAGGAAACATTCGATGACCTACTTTTCAACTTTCCTCAGCAGGCATCTGAAGCAGCGATTCCCCACTGAGGTCTGCACTGCTCAATATTTCAGAGGAACACTGTTTAAGCCTGTTTCTGAAGCTATGGCGCTCAGCTCTGACCACCTCACGTCACATTAAAGCCCAGCCGGAGGTTTGGTGATGCACGCTGCCTTCACTGGCGCCTTGTTACTTCCAGCTATGACCATCGACCTGAGACGTGAGACCTGAGACTGTTCTGCCACCAAACCCACTTCAGGCCAGCACTACCCAGTTTGAGCTGAAAAGGACTCGTGCTCACTTAAGAAGCACAGCATTAACAGGCTTAATCGATATTCAGGAATTGTTGAATGCTATCAAATTTATTTGTTATGAAGGACTCATAAAAGGAAAAGAGGAAGAAATGAAGAAAAGGAAAGTAAACCTTTTAATCAGTTTTTTAGAAATCAGAGTAAATTCATCAAGAAGGTTCCTGTGAGTGTTTTGTGGACCAAATGCTTTTCTACACTCAGAAAGTTTAAAAAAAAATTCCAGATCAGAACAATTGGCTGAAAACTGTATTTATAAATAGTGTTTTCAGCACATTATCACAAATAATGTAATGCCTTGTGCTAGTTTCACCTCTAACTTGCCTTCTAATTTATTTATTGCTGCTGGATGACGCATTGCAATTCACTTGTTCGCTCCTTTTGCCCAAACTGTCCTGTTTTCTGTGTCAGAGGTTTTTGTTCTGTATAATCTTTTTATATAAAACCCTGTCAGAAAACTAGATGGATGCAAAGTGAGAAAAGTATGTTGTAGTGAAGCCAAACTACTTAGCTCACAAAATTATTAAAGACAACAAATTGCAGGAGGATGCTTACATCAGAAAGAAAAAATCAATTATTCAGGCTTGCCATTCTAAGGCTCTGCTTTTGGAGCTGCTTTTGACTGCGGTGACGCACAACGCGTACGGCGTTCCTGCACTTCTACGCGAGCAGGCTGCGATCTAAGTGGCTCCGAGTCTGCCTATTCTTAGAAAGAGGTCGAGCTGGTACATAGTCTGTATGCAGCATTTGTCATCCACCTACCTGGCTGGCCTGGATGTCTGAGTGTACTGAGATCTAACGGGCCAGGTGCAGCTTTTAACACAGACACAGACTCTGAACTGTGTCTGTTATCCTGAGAGTATATGAAGTCAATATAAAAAAATCATGATTTCCAGCAGTGTCACAGCACAGCCTCACCAATTTTTGAGTCTTGATAAGCTTAGCGCATTAAAAACTGGGTATTTATGTTGTCGCTGCTTTCCTTTCTCGCTCTGCGCTGCTTGGCAATGTGTAATCAGCACACACACGTTCTTTACAGGTGCAGAGTGATGTTCTACGCAAATGAAAGCCGACCAAAGCGGTGCGGATGCAGCTGGTGTGCTGCTTTTTTGAGCCTAATTTATAGCAATCCTGCGTTTTTTGGGGGGGGTATTTTTAGCTGCTCGATATGCTGAGAGGACCAACGGAAGAACAGAGCTGTCAAGCACGCAGCTGTTTATCTGTAAACACCACTGGGGGCCGGAATGTGGTGGATAAACTGAGATGGGTTACAGTCTGTCTTCAACTGCTCCGGTTCATAGTGGATCGAAACGGCTAAAAATGGTCCAAGGGAAGAAAACTGAGGAACCTTTGAGAAGGCACTGATGAGCCAAGTTTCACTAATGGGTGTGGGGAGCAAAGGCTGGCCCGTGCTCTCCAATTTATGAGTGGATTACGTTTAAATAGCTCAAAGGTTCATGCAGAGCTCACTGCCTGCTGTAAACGGGCTCAGAGTGTCTATGCTGAGCCCCATGCACCGTTAAAGTGCCCCGAAATGGAGACAAAAGGATCAGAACTGAACCATAGACCAATGGAAGAAGGTGAAAGATGTTGCTGAAAAAAACGCTTATACCACATCATATCCACATCATATCCTCATGGGTCTACTAGCCAGGTGTTAGTGCTATGGGCCCTGTGTTGCTAGGTTATCTGACAGAATAGTGTATATAACCCCCCAAAAAAAAATTTGGGCTGAAACTCTAAATTTACCCGTCTTAGTATCCTTCTTCTTAGTCCTGGTCTCCTCCAAGGGAAAGAAGAGTCCCTCGCCACTTAATGCCACCACACTTCCATCAGCCAGAGGGATTATGGGCAGATCTCTGAGATTTTGCAGGACGGAGTCTGCCTCTTCGAAGCCATGCTCCATGGCTCGGAAGTTGCAAACCAGCAGCCTGGCCAGCTGACGAAGGGCTCCCTCTGGAAGGAAGAGCTTAGTCAGCATTGCGAATGGGAATGAGGATAGTAGCTCTGTCTGCGACTCCCAAAAAGCTGTTAGGATTTTTAAGGTAGAGCACACTGGACAGCCCAGAGGTCCCTCGGTACACACCTGAGTTCAGGCTCTGCTCTTTGACCAGCTCCCTTGCCATTGCGTTGGTTACCGTGGTGACATCCGATCCCCTCAGGTTTCGGACTCCCAGGTGATTGAGCAGGGAGTTGGGGGGGGCGGGGCTGAGACCCGGATGGAGATAGGACAGGGACAGATGTTTTTCGAGCTCATCCCCGCCTATCACGCTGCGGATCACAGCATCCTGGCAGACGGCCACTTGGGACGGCAGCTTGTACACCACCTCCCCAGCTGTGACACACACACGGAGAGGGCCATCAGAGGGGCATCAGAGGGTGGTGGCTTCTTAAACCTTCCACAACCTGCGAGTGTGAGTCTTACCTGAGCTGAGTGTCGGCAGGAAGGCCTTCCCTTTGAGCAGCTGGATAATTTGCCCGGCGACAGGCTTGAAAAAGTCCAGCACTTCGTCAGGGAGGGGCACAAACTGCAGGAACTGGCACAGGCCCTTCAGCCCCTTGAACTCTGGGTGATCCTGAAACACAGCGAGATGCTAATCGAAAGATAAAAACACTCTTCTTCATATTTAAGCTCAAAAGAGGGGCAGGCTTACTTATAAGACTGTGTTTCCAACGTGCTCTTTCATTTTTATCTCTTTTATTGACATTATCACATTGGACGCACATTACCTGCATCCAGTTCTCATTCTGAGCCCAAATTGTAACTTTTTTTTTAATGGCACTATCCATATCTAGGTATTTTGACTTGACAAACTGAGACATTCTGTAAAATCAAATATAACTTTATGAGAGTTTTACACAATATGCATTTAGACACTACTTTCCAGAAAAAATCCTATTTTTTTAGTCAATTTAAAAGCAGAATATTCTAAATATTTTGTAAAACTACCTAATAAACAAATATTGTTGTAATTTACAGTTGTAAAGCAAAGACTCTAATGAGCCTGCCATTAAATGAGACTGGAGGTTACTACTTACAGTGAAGTTGTTCATGGCCTGGAGGAAGAGTTGTGGTATTTCGGATCGAAGCCACTGGTTCCAGGAACTGTCCCGGTCCACATCTTCCCGTGAGGAAGGAATATCAAAGTCACCTGAGGAAGGAATTCTAATGAGTGAATCAGGGTGCTTTTTCTTCAGTAAACAAATCAGCCATGCTTTATGATCTCTGCTATCTCACCCTGGATGATGAAACGGAAACCAAAGCTGCGGAGGGGGAGGTAAGCAAACACTGGCTGCTTTTGAGGCTGGCAGGAGACCTCCCCCTCAGCCAGCTGGAAAGCCAGAGCCAGCTCGGTCGACTCCACGTCTTCTTTGATCTGAAGGGGTGAAAGAGTCTGCGTCAAACCTGACGCAACAGCTCACAAACAGGCCGACTTCTCAAGGGAAAGGTCTGAGGTAAGCCTCGAATTAACATAAAGGTTTCCACATTGCAAACCAAATAACAACTGTCAACCTCTGAAGAAAGAAAACAGGTTAGAAACAAAACTTGATAGCTAATTGAAATCTGCAGACTACAGAAGGTATGAAGGAAGGAAAGGAGACGTGCGAGTCAGAAAAAGAGGAATCTGAGGGTGTGAGCACCAACCTTCTTGGGTTCCAGCCTGGTTTTGACCACCAGCCAGCGCTCGACGCCCTCCGTGTGCTCCACCTCCAGCACGTTGTGACTGAGATCTTTGCGGGTCATGCTCACCAGCCGCTTTTCCATCTGAGGCCGGGAAAAAAGGGGGGAGAATCAAATAAGCGGCCTGCATGGAGAGACAAGTGGGTCTAAGCCGCTTGCCGGGGCAGACTGAGGCTCACCTGGTTGTAGATGGTGATGGAGCGCAGGCGGTGCAGAAAGAGCAGCAGGGACGAGTGCACGTCGTGAAACAGGTTCCTGGTCTGATGGCTCTCAGAGCGCAACGGGAGGCAGATTTTGGTGGTCCAACTAAGAAGGAATGCACCATGGGTGTGAACTCAAAAACACGCTTTTGATTAAGTACACCAGTAAACAGTTCCACCAGAAACAGCACAGATTCCAACTGGAGAGGGAGACTAAAGCTGGAAGGTTCACTCGATACCCAGAAATATTCCAAATGGTTCCAAAAAAAGGCTTAATTTATTTGACATTTTTTAGTTTTTGACCTATGGACACTGATGGCATGCCCATATAATCTCTGGTACATTAAACCAGCTTTTTCTGTAATAAATCTGAAACATGAAATTTGTTGTAGCTGTCAGAACTTAAGCTTTTTTTACACACACACACACACATATTGTCACGTCTGGTGTCTCGTCATGTCATGATTACCTATTGTGTACACCTGGGGTTCCCCTCCCTCGTGTGTTTAAATAGTCCTGTTTCCCCTTGTCTGGCGCGAGTGCGTTTTCGTCTCTTGTCCTAGTTTCGTCTTTTGTCCTTCGTCACACCCACGCCAGGTTTGCTTTTGTCTTTTGTCATAGTTTTTGCCTCGGTCATAGTCACAGTTTTGCCACAGTTTTGTCAATCGTTATTTTGTTACTTTACCCAGTCTTGTTTGCTCATTGATTTGTTACTTTGATCACAGTTTTCCACAGCTTTGCTTTGTACTTTGTCTGGACATTCACTCTGTTTTTTGTAATAAACCTTGTCTTCCCTCATCTCCGCACCTGAGTCCTCCGTCAAGAACCATCCTCCTGACACATATATTATTTTATTAAACAGAATATAAAAGAAATCAGTGAGAAACAGGTTTTAACTTGAAACTTTCTTGCTTCTTTATGCTTGATATGAATAACGTGTATGAATTATGCTGCATTCTGACTTTCAATCAAGTAAAAATAACGTAGCCATCCAACCTGTGCCGCTTCATGTCCTTGAGCTGCACGTCCAAAGGCCTCTCGTCTTCGGTCCAGTGGGGGAGGATGTATCCCATAGGGCCACAGCTCTTGTCGAAGCGCAAGTGAAAGCCGTTGGAGTGGATCTCAGGGCAGTCTGTCACCTTAAAGACCGACTTGAAGCCAATGCCTTTTTGGCCTGTATGTAGGAGAACAACAAAGACCGTGATTTCTCTTCTTATAAGAAACCTTTGCTTCTGGTGACTGGACCGACAGATTGACGTGGTTACCGATGTATCCGTATTTGTGTTTGCCCTTGGTGCTGCGACCCACATCGCAGATGGCTTTGATGTTCTTCTCCTGGAAGCCCGTCTCATTGTTGAGGACGGAGATGCAGTCTCTCTCCACCACGAAGGCCAGCGCGGGAACAACGCCGGCCTCTGACGGGTAACTGTTGTCATCAGCATTCTGCAACACAGGGGATGGAGAGTAAGCCTTAGATATGATTCACATTCAACTGTGAGGCTAAAATCAGAGATGGGCTTGGGTTAGTCTGTAAGAATTCAGGTAACTAAACTCTACCATGTACAATCCTATGCTGTCTGACAGCTGAGCTTTTTTTTTTTATAGCAAACATTTTAGCGCCACTGTGAGGAGAGAAAATGTAAAAAGCACCCACCTGGATGAGCTCCAAGACAAAGTGTGTATCTTTGCTGTAGAGCTCGGTGGAGAGGCGGTCCAGGCTGCGGCCCAGCCTCTCCTGGTGGGTCAGCATCAGCTTCTGGCCTTCCTCGTTCAGCTCCACCCCCACGCCGAACTCATTTTTCCTGTGAGAAAAATCCAGTCAGCTTCACCTTGACTCTAAGTCTGGCATTTAACTAGGTGAATGGGAATAACGTCGGTAAACCTGATTTCCTCAATTATGGCTTTTTGGTGATGCAATGCGGCCTCTGACTGGCTGCCGGCGTCCCGCTTCTCGTCGGGGTCGGCGTTTTCGAGCGGTTCGTCGCTCTGAGCCCCTTCGGCCTCGCCGTTGATGTCCGAGGTTTCTCCGTTTTGAAGGGAGGCCAGCTCATACAGCTCCTCTCCGTCCTCTTCGTCCTCAATCTCCACATCAAGGTCACCATTGACTAGAAGGGCAGAAAAGCACAAAGGCTGGTCTAGTCCTTGGTTCACTGAAAGGCATGTTTCACACTGCTGTGGACTTGTTAAGTCACCTTGTTGCTGGCTGTGGTTCAGCTGTGAGGAAACAGAGCTGCTGTCCATGATGTCATCATCAAGGTACTCATCCTCACTGGTATTCAAGGCTGACAGACTGCTGCTCTCAGAATCTATCAAATTGGACTAAAGTCGTACAAATATGACATATTTACTCGTCAAAACACATGAAAATCTCAGAAAACTTGAGGTTCCATACTGTGAACTGAGCTCTGTCTGAAATGGACCATTTCCTGACTGACTTAAACCGTTTTTGCCCGTTTTCTCCAACTCGTGTTCTCACCTTGGCCTTCACCATAGGGGCTGCGTGTGGGTGCCCGTCTTGGTTGAGCTTTTTCTGGTAGTCTTTGACCCAGTCTGTGACGCCCAGGAGGATCCCGAGCCGATGCAGGCAGTTCAGGTGTCTCGGGTCGGACTGAGCCACGGCCACCAAGACTTGTTTGGACTTGGCCTGGCCCAGGACACGGGAGAACGGCTCCAGGAACACCTATATGTGACAAGACGTCTATTTCTGAACCACAGTTTTAACAGAGAGCTGGTATTTGGTTTTGGCTGGAACCAAACAGAAGAAGACTCTTTCTTTCCTCTTAAAAAAATTCTACGGTTTCTGTGTACAAGCTGATGTAAAACAGTCATTTAATACCTACTGAACTTTTGCACTTCAAAGTGAAAACAGGTTTTTAAGTGCAGCATCTTCTCAGTGAGAAAAATTCTTCTCTAAAGTGAAAAGTGCATTGGACTGACCTGCTGTAACAGAGCCTGGCAGGTTCTGGTGGGGATTCGTATCAAACACGCCAGCAGAAACTTGGCCACTCTGCTGTAACAGGCGACGTCCTCCTCGGCCCGGGAGAGATCTAAGAGTGGTGGCGGCGTACGTTAGTGACAGCACAGGCAGGCTGCGTTTGGATATATGTGTGAAAATGGAGGATCGCTACCTTCTGAAGCCACGGCTGCAGCCAGGGAGCTCTGCATGTGATTGGCCAGCAGGGCGGTGGGTGCGTTGTCGACCCCGTCCGCGACCACGATGGACACGAGGTGGCCGGCGGTGCCGACAGGGTCCAGGGCGGCGGAGGCACGCGAGAAGTGTTTGTCCCCCGTGGCAGTGGTGATCCTTAGCAGCATGCCTGGAGCCACCTCCAGCGCTGCCAGGTCCATTTTTGCTGTGATAAAAGGGAAAGAACAATTATTGGCACATTAGCTGACTCATTTCTGAGTAATGAACTTTACACATTCCAAGAGTGTATTGACAGAGTTTCGTGCCAATTCTTCCCATTTGTAAGAATTGGAAAGATCTGATTCCACTGAGAGGAAAACCAGGGTACATCAATGCTATCTGCATGATGAAGGGTCCATACTGTTACATCTTCCCCACCCCACGCCAGAAAACAGAGAAGTTCTTTTGACTCAACTGAGGCAATTTTTAAAAACTGAAGTTTAAATTCAGACTAAGGTCCATTAAAAGCTTAAAAAAATCAATGAGGGACAAAGCTTCCCTAAGTTGTGTGTGAGTAAATGATACAGTAAACAGGTGTTCTGGATAGCTTGTGACGAAGCTAATCACATCTTAGAGGGTCACAAACGCAAATATTGTGTCATTAAGAAGTCATTCAAGTGAAAGTTGAACAGAAAACCTTTTCCTGGTGAGATTTGGTTTCACTTGTTTGATGTAAGAGGACAGTCACTGCAAGTCAGTACAAACTGCTCTCACTTGAATCATAAGATGAAGCATTTGGACCCAGATGTCTGTTACAAGTGATATCAGCACCGGGAGGATGGAGACACTTTGTGTGTTAGACAACAGAAGCTCATTGGACTGTATTGCTGGGTTAACATTCCCTTTTGTAGTTTTCAGACCTGCTTACTGTTCTGAAATCCCAAACAAAGTTCACAAAGTGCTGAGACTTTATACGCCGGTCAATAAAACAGCTAACTGTGCAGCTGTCATCAAAGATTGATGATTTGTTTAATGATCAAAAAAATGTCACATCCTTTAATTATGGAATTTGCTGACTGAGCCTCTAATACTAAAATCAAAAGAGTTACATTGGGGAAAACATTTAATGGGAGATGGCCAGACTGCAGAATGAGAATGCAGTACACTTGAATGTATGTTGACAACTTCCTCCAAAGCTGAAATGTGAGCAACGTCAAAGGTTTGGGGATTTTTAGATATTTGTCTGGTAGACGTCTCAGATGTCTTTCTGTAGTCTCCGTCTTTTGTTTTTTAATCTCTGGACTGGTCCTTGGTTTGCTATCTGATTTCTGGTTTGCATTAGTCTTTCATTGTCAGTTCCATAATTACCCTCAGCTGCTTCCACTCACTAATCTTCCTCCTCTGGAGTTAAGCTCCATATTTTGGGGGGTGGAGGTCAAATTATTTGGAACAATTTGGTAAAATAATCTTTAGCATCTACTATACTCTTAGGTCTTTAGCAACATTTAAGAACAACACATTTTGACGTGTCATTTGTACAGAAGCATGCTTTATTTACTTTTATTATTTAAGACCTATAATGCTTTGGCTGTTGGTGTTTTTCTGGGTGAAACTGTTGACTGACCTCTGCTTACCTCTGTCTGTGGCATCTCCTCAATGATGCATCCGATTTTAACAGGTGAAATTTCTCACAAGGACCAGACAAAAAAAACAGCATGGCTGACGCCCACCTGCATTGGTTTCTATGAAATCTCTGAGGGGGCCGTGAAGGGGTTTGAAGATCAGCTCCCACTGACTCCAGTCATGTAAATCTTCCAGCAGTGGACAGGAGAGAAGACTGGCCAGCGCCTGAGCCTTGGACATGTCGCCTAAGCACCCCACAGACTCGTTTCCACTTTGAGGGCTGTTCACCCCAGGCATGGGGCACACAACGGGGAAAATCAATGAAAACTTAGGATAAGGAATTTAAAAGACCTGTTAAAAAGCGGGACACTCTTTCACTTGTCCTATCCATTGCGGTGGTTTACAGGTCTAACCTGGATTTGCTGTGTTTGGCCAGCAGGGCAGACTCGTAGCAGACGGGGCTCAGCCCTCCTCCAGCCAGCTCTCTTTGCCGTTGGACCAGGCCGACGAGCATTTGCAGGGTGCCGTATCCCAAGTCCCGGCTGTCACGGAGCCTGTAGTGGGACCTCAGTGCCGCCTCGATGTGAGAGATCTGGAGGGAAAAGGCCGTGGCGTGAGCTGTTGCTAGCTTGCGTGCGGCGCTAACGGCGGTGAGCGACTCACGTCGTCCGGTTCGGTGGAAGCCACGCTGCCGCACTGCTTGATGAACTCAAACACGTCCTGCCTGCTGGGCCTGGAGCTGTTTCCCGGACGTTCCACGTTGCTCCCCAAAAACAAAACCGACCCGAGGGCGTCCTGCAGCAGCTGCACACAGAACACAAACAGCGTGTGATGTCATAGCCTCAGACAGACGTTACCACTCATGCTGACACACAGAAATCAGAGCTCTACCTGAATGTGCTTCACCAGGAACTCCAGGAAGGTGCCTTGTTCCAGAGAGAGGAAATCTTTGGCCTGGAATTGTTTGGTCACCTTCTTCTCCACGGCGGCGATGTGGCCCAGAGTGATGGCAGAGTTTATGGTAGCCAGGCTGTCTTTCAGAGCCTGCTTCACTTTCGCTGTGAGGCACAGAGCAGACATATCCGTTATTCACACGCACAAGAAGCCACGTCCACTCAAAGTATTTAGATCTGTGCAAAAACCCTAAACAACGCCCAGTTTCGTCAAATCATCCACTGATTCCTGCCCATAAAAAGGCCCCTAAATAGAGGGATGAGCTTGTTTTTACATGTAACAGACAACTAATGATTTTTGCACAGGTGGCAGAAACACTGTTAGATGGAAAAGAACCTTCACTGGGGATGACCGTGGGGGCTTTGTCCGCGGTTTTTGTTTGTTCTGAGGGCTTGGAGGTCTTGTCTTTGAGCACCAGGTCCTGCGGTGCTGCCAGGGAGCCTCCACACACGGCCAGCTGGAACAGAGCCTTAGCCAGCCTGTCGTTGGACACCTGTGCCAGGAAGCTCTCAACGTGCTGCATTAGAAAGACAAATAAACCTCTGTCAGAACTCCATGATGTGATATTGGTCAGATAAAAAGGACACTGTGGTGTTCTGCTACTCCCAAAGTACAAACTGGGACAATGGAGCGCTGTCATGACTGCCAAAATCTTTCTGCCTTGAACTTCATCAGCTTACATGGCGGATGTTTGTTTTAGGTCCTTTTATCTACAATTTTTACACCCTTATGCCATATGTGAGTGAAATTACTGGAATTTTTAAGTTTCTATCTTAGAGTTGGAGCTTCCATAATTTTAAGAACAATAAAAGAATGTATATTTCATCTTCAATATGAAGCCAGAGCACCTTGTTCAAATCTGTCATATGCTTGAACTTTCATTGAGGATTAGGAGGTAGTGGGGGAAATGTGATAATGAGCTCACAACTGGAGATCAGCTCTGAAGCTCCTCTTGACAGCTCACTGCCGACAGGCTTAGCGGAATTAACACCCCGTCCTACCAGTGCATTAAGGTGTATTACACTCATGAGATCAGAGTTAAACAACTAGTGAACTGTAGGGGCGCTGCAAGACATAGTTACACTGGTGGAGAGGCGCCCATCGTTATTATTATTTACTGTTGTAAAGACCTGAAATATGCAGCGCAACATGTTTCCCTGTTAAAGCCAAATACTGAAAAACAACCTAAAATAAAAATAAACAACAAAAAAAGCTGAAGTCAAAATAATATCTAGAACTAGGTTATTAATATTTCTTAAAACTAATATAACCGTTTTCTGAGAAAATACTGTAAGGAATACAAATGTTAAAAAATAAACGAATAAATTGAATCTTAACATCCTGCATTTTGAAATTAAAATACATTTTAAAAAGCAAATATTTCACTTGAAGGAAATTTCCTAAAAGGTGTTTTTTCTGCTTTTTGCTTCTTTAAAAGGTTTTTCAAGTTGATCTTGTTAAAAAAAAAAGTAGCTAGCTTAAGAAAAAAACTTAGTTTAGTTAAAAAACTTGAGTTAGCTAAAAATCATAGCTTGGCTTAGTTTAGTTCAGTTAAAAAACTTAGTTTAGCTTAGTTTTAAAAAAGCTAAGCTTGGTTTAGTTTATTCCATTTAAAAAGCTTAGTTCAGTTTGGTTTAGTTTAGCTCAGTTAAAAAGCTTAACTTAGCTATTAGGCTCATCTTAGTTCAGTGTACTGATGAGCCATCCTGCAAAATGCTGAATATATAAGGTCCAGCAATGTCTATGGTATGCTGTCAGAGAAAAAAGACAATTCCGGATGGAAAATATTTTAGTCTGCATGTGGCACGCACCTTGGTCATTCTGGGGCTGAACACTCCCACTGCGTTTGACAATACCTCCAGCACCACCTCCCCTGCAGGCATAGAGGCATACTTTTTCCTTAGATCCAAGTTTCCTGTGGAGGAGAAGGAACCAGCGCCCTGCAACTGCTCCAAAACGTTCTTCTTGATTTTTCGCAAACGCTCAAGGGTTTCCTCTTCCAGCTCTCTTTGAATGACCTCTCTGGCTCTCTCCAGGATGGTGTGCTCGATCCGGCTCACCTTCATAATGGTCTGTAGTGGAGATAGAAGTCAGAGCATCATTAAGCTACTTAACTAAGCAAGTTCTGAAATGTAAAAGAAAAAGTAAGTTCAGAAATTGTGAGGAAAACATAACCCCCTAAATAAATAGAAGAAAAACTGGAGTGTGTGTTTGCCTTTTAGAGAAAAAGTCGTTTTTAAAGCCATGAAAAAAGATACATAAGATAGAAAAATCCTTGGAAAGTCGTGGAACAGATACATTTTTTTACCTGCTCATGCATGTCAGGAAGAGACAAAAACTAAAGCAGTATATCCCCTCATTAACAAAAGGGACATTTTCAAAGAGGCTCGAACCAATTTTAACTGAAAACCTTTTATTTTTTCTTGAAAAATAAAAGTTTCACATATCAGGACAGAGCAGAAATTCCCCTTCGTCCATACCAGGCCTTGTAATGAAGTTAAAATACAACCTCAGAAAAATAAAACACAAAATTATAATCTTATTAAATATATGACAATTCAAAAAATATAAATAAGGACTGTACTTAAAAACTGCCAAGACTGTCCCAAACCTCAAATGCTAGTTTAAATTGTATTCGCTCTTCTCTGTAGGTAAAATTTTGGGTACCTTCTATACTGTAATCATAATCAAGATGGTGATTATCATGTGTTGGAACTTCACAACCAAAGAGAGAGAAAAAAAAACCCCAGCTGAGAGAAGCTGTTGACATCTGTGGGTCCACCTTCCTCTTACCCCTATGGGAAGGCCAAAGCTGTGTATCCTGATGCCCAGCTCGTAAGGAGATTCACAGCTGTAGTGATCGGCCAGATACTGCAAAAACTCAGCCAGGTCTAGTTTCTGTTTGGTCTGCTTCCTCCTAAAAACGCGAATTTGCTAAGCAAAGGAAAGGAAGAACATAGTCAGCATCTAGTGAAGTCTTGGTATCCAAGACCTGTGGAAAGTACAAAATTATGCAGTTTTTTTTCTTTATCATTACTGTCATCATTAGTTGAAACATGTTTCTGTGTTTATATAGAATCATATGAATTGTTCATGAATTCTACAACATAAGCGTGCATTGGTATAGTTCTTTCTGGAAGTGATTGAATCTGTATTTTATCCCCCTGCCGTGCAGCGGTGCACGACTGGGTGCGCTGGTACCTTCAGGATGTCTTTGGTCTCGATCTGGGGGATATCGTCGTCCTTGGTGTTACTGTCAATCTTGAACATGCGGTGTATGAGGGGGAGCTTGCACAGGGGCCCGAGGTTCAGCTCCTCGTAGTGCTTCTTGTCCTTCAGGCCGGCCAGAGTTTGGCCCAGCTCATACAGGGTGCAGATGGACGTCGCCGCTTCGGTGCACTGACAGAAAGAGGAGACGTTCATAAAAATGAAAACAAGTTCTCAGCGCTGCAGCTTCAGACTCAGATGGAGAGAATGTGAAACAGAAGCTGTGTGAGCACCGACCTCTATGAACATGTTGATCTCTCTTATGAGATACTGAAGGTCTTTTAGAGCCGAGAAGGTCCAGGGCTTGAGCGTCCTCGGGTCCAGAGAGGGAACCATCATACACACCCGGGAGATCACCTAGACGCATAGGTGGCAACAGCCAAAGGGAAAGGACGACATGAGATCCAGTAGTAAATATTAGCCAGCAAGCTTGTGTTTGTCACCAATTCAACAACAAAGGGAATCATTTTTTACGATTTCCTCACCTTTTCCTTGGTGACCAGCTCTCCCTCATCAGCGATTTCTCGTATAACGCTGCACATCAGACTGTTGATTTCCTCCTGATCTACAGCGCCGTTCCTCCTCCTCCTCCTCCCCGTTTGCTCCTCCTCATCGTCTTCAATGGCCTCCAGCGCCCGCATATTACCTCCATGGACCTCTCGCAGCTGTGCATGATAAGCACCCCTGAAGCTGGGCGCGCTGGCCTCTTTCTGACCGCTGTCTTTCGTTCTGCTCCTCTGCTCTTTGGTCAGACTTGCGTCGCCCCCTGCTCCCAGCGCTGGGAAGTCGGACTCAGAGAGGTGGCCGGGCCCACTTGGGAGCGGTAGCTCTCTTTTGGGCTCTCTTTTCGGATTTTTTGCAGCTGTGGGAGGACATTTGTTTTCAGAGTGCGTCACAAACAATATTTCATTTTCTTTCTTGAGAGATATGGTGTTTGGCTACCTTCAGCTGCCCCCCACGCACTGGTCTTGGGAGTTGCCTTGGGTTGGGATTTATCGGGCTTCTTTTCAGCTTCCAAGTTGTCATAAAGAGACATGTACTGGGCCACAGGAAACTGTTCTCCAAACAGCCCATAGTAGCAGGCCTGGAGCTGATCCATGGATGGGGCGGTCAGCTGGTACTTCCTCAGCACCTGGAAAACACCTGACAGTTTTTAACAGCACAAAGCAGAGCCACCCGGAGGAGAAGGAGCACCAGAGAGGTCAAATCTGTCTACAAGAGGAAAACAAAATACCCATATCAGCTAGAATATCTTTAATAGATATAGTAAATAAAGAATTTCCAGGATACTTTATGTTAAATACCAGGAGAAGAGTTTTTTTTACTTACACATTGTAGTAATTTCTTATATAAATGCTTTACTTCACCCAAGGTTTTAATCATTACAATCCCAACTATGGCCAATGATCTTTTATTAGCGCACAAACCCATCCAACACATCCAAATACAGCCTAAAACCCATGTTAGCAATTGGCTCCGTGTTACACTTGTGTGAGTTTGTTGGTTTTGCCTTGAAACTGCTGTTCTGAGTGTTTCAAATCTGAAGCCTATGCTGTAAAACATCACATATGTGGAAGTGGAATCTGTACATTCTTACTCTTCAGGAGTCACACAGTGACTAAAGATCTATTAATAAAAAAGAAAGAAGTCTCTGGTGTCTGGAAAACGAAGCCTGCCCTGCTCTGGTGTGTCGGTGTGGCTCACCTCCATTATTCTCTGGAGCAGCTGATCCTGGGTGAGGACTGGGCTCTCAGAAACATGTTTTATGGATGATGATGAGCCGAATGAAATCAAAGGGCTGCCGAGAAGGCTGACCCCGGCCTGGGAGGGCGGCGCCCAGAGGGGGCTGCTGGTATCCCGCAGTGGGCCGGGGCTACAACCCCTACTGAGAGAATCCGGAGTCTGCGGTGTGGCCGGCCTGCTGCCCTCTTTAGCTTGTCTCGCTTTCCAAGCCTGAGGCTGATTTTGAGCCAGGTAAATCTTATGGAACACGATGTCCCCCTCCACGTGCAGGTCTTTTTCCAAAGTGGCCACCAGGGAGGAGATGGTTTTGAAGCCCAGAGAGGCTAAGGCCAGGTTGTGGTGGTACGTCTGGCTGTAGAGGGTAGCCACCTTGGGCAGGGGGACGCCGGCCGGATGCTCTCTCATCATGAGGACCAGGTTTTCCAGCACCCTGCTTTTGCTGTCCCCACCTGTGGAGGCGGCTCCGCCTTCAGCTCCAGCAGCGCTCTGACTTCGGGGTAGATGGTCCTCGTGAAACACCAGCTGTCCCACCACAGACAGCTCCCGTCGAGAGTCCACGAGCTGGGCCAGGGACTCAAAGTGCAAGGCCCGGAAGGACAGGTTGGAGCGGTACGTCTGGTTGTAGAACATGGTGAGCTTTTTCAGCGGGATCCCGGCCGGGTGACCTTTCAACAAGTCCACTACATTTTGTAGAACTTCCTCCATCTTGAGTGTTGCTCTAAAAGTGACAAGACATAAAGCCTTTAACTGTCATCCAATCATCAACAGCGCTGCTCTTACGACCACTTTCCCTACATTTGAAGAGAGCCCGTTCAATAAATGAGGTGTCTCATTTTTTTGGACTTTGTTGGATTTAATAAAGGGACTGTAATTTATTTAATAAAAGAAAAATTCAGGAATGCTGGAATGTGTGATCAGAAAATAATAATTTGGCAGGAAACCAAACAGCTAAGTGGAAATCACTTCAGTGGATATAATCGATATGCATGTAAGCATCCATAAAGGATTAAAGGGAAGCTGCAGATGGCTGTAAAGGCCAGCTAGGACGGAGAAAAGACAAAAATAGATATATGGCTACATGGATGAATATCAAATCATTCTTTGCAACAATAATCGCATCAAAGGTGAATTTGATCATTGACTTCATTCATTAAACTTTGGGTAAATATCCATTTGTTTTCTTTACCAGTTCATTTTTAGTTCACTGAGAATTTTTAATCCTCATCAAGGTTTTTTAATCTATGTATTGATTGATTTTTTTATTAATTAAATCAGTTTTCATTTCAAAGGGGTATTTTGGGTTAATTAATCGATTTAAAGATGTTTTAGTTTTTGTTCTTCTCCCTTTCCACTTGCCCGGGTTTATTAGGTGAAGTATTTTTACATTCTCGTGCCTGCTTCTGATTTGTTTCGCAAATAGGGGGGTGTGGCTTTTTTTCAGGGTGAGTCATGTGTTGGGCTTCTCACCTATTGGCTGATCATAAGGGTGCAAAAGTCTGGTTTAGCAGAATGGCGTTGTAAACCGGACTCCCGTTCCACACTGAAGGAGAACACATGTAGGGCAGAAACACATTTGGAAAGGAATAAATAAAGGGCTATGAACAGAAAGTTAAACGAATATGGATTCATTTTAATGGAGAAAACATTTTACACAAGCTTTATAGTCTTATTTTAGTCCAATTTGATCCAATTCTTGATCCACAATAGTCCAAAGACCAAACAGTTACTGTTGAAAACTTTGATCAGTTCTGTTCAAATGTGCCACATAAATAAAGGTGACATGGCTTCATGCCCTTAAAGAAAATGGCTAACACAGCACATCAACTCTGAAGACGTAACATTTCCTTAGACAAAAAAAGGCACACCCGAAGAACAACAACATTGTCTGGCGTTTCTTCATAACCACACACTGGCAGCACAGCTAGCTTCAGGCTTTACATGGCAACCTCCGCCTAATGCAAAGAAAAAAGAAATAAACCAACTACAACAGTGCGCAGCAGTTATATCTTACCAGCTCTTCCAAATGGGATGATTTGTGGTTAACTTCCTTCAGCTGAGGCTACTGAACGTGAGCCAGCCGCCTTCCTGTTTGGGCTTTTAAATACCCCCCCACCCTTCCGTTTCTGCTCCCTCACTGTGGGTCAGTGTGTTTCACTTGAGAGAGAAACGAAACCAAAACTCCCTGCTCGCTCTGTGTTCGCTCATGCCCCAGTCTCCATTTCTCGGAACGGCTCTTGAGCTCACAGATCACAAAAAAAAAAAAAAAAAGGAAAAGATGCAACGGGGAAGCTTAAAAGCAGCCGGACGCACTCCACCTGCCTGTTTGGAGCATCATTCTTCCTAATGTCTGCCTAACAACATTAATAATGACTTTACCGGCATAAAGGGTGTGTGAGTGGAGGCAAAAAGAGAGATAGAGAGAAGGGAAAACAAAACCAGCAAAAGGAGGGATGTGACCAAGGGAGGGAGGGGGAGTAAAAATAGCTTTAAGTTTCACATTCCTGGCTTGCCTCAGCTGATTAATCAGAGCTTCCCTGTAATAAACCCGGGGACACTCTGGCTCTATAGCTCACGGAACAATAAAAACCTGTCCAACCTGAGACATTATGAAGTCATTAGACGCTATTACACAGTTACAGGGTTTGGATAGGCCTTTGGATCTGTTCGGTTCATTTTACCAGAACAACCACCTGACTTTTTTTTGCATATTTCATGCTGTCATACCAACACTTACTTCTTTAACCTTTAGTCTTGGAGAGATACCTTTCTGGCTTCATAATGTGTTGCCAAGATGTGAACAAAGTACACACTCTATTATTAAATGGAGATGAGATTTAATTAAACACTGGTAACCTACCTGGAATGATTACTTCTCAGTTTGCCTTTAAGTTGCCACTGCATCTTGCCACCTCAGTTCCGAGGACAGGGCTGGAGTTTGGGGAACAAAGGCATCATAATGGTGAAACCAAGGATGAAAATGATGCCTGGCATTGGCATCAAAACGCAGAGGAGAGGCAGCTGCTGACCAACTGACCCTTCATTTAACGCCAATGTTATAGAATAATGATATATTGTTGAGAAGCATCACCTCAACTCTCTTTATTACTGTGTTTTAACTTACCCAATAGCATGGTGCCAAATAGGGTTATAAATAAGTGTTTCTCATCTGTCTTATACTAATATTTGGTTACATTTTAGAATAATAAGAATAATATTAATCTAGTAGAGTTTTAGAAAAAGGCTAGACGGTCATTACATTAAATGAAATTGGAGATATTCGGATAAAATATGGAAAGGTAGCTCTGGTAAAGAGTTTTTACATGCTAGCAAGATGAGGGGATTTACCAGAGGGACCAGACAGCGGCGCGGCAACACTTTCCATCTACCTGTTATTGTGGTGGACGCCGTGTGCTGCACTTTTCGGACCTCTGTGTTTGCCTTGCTCGAAATCCTCATTGCGCCGAAGAAGATTACCATGGCAACAAAAGCCTCGCTTTTCGACTAGTAGAGCTAACATGCTAACTTAGCTAGTACATTTAGAGGAACTATGAGATAACTTTGCATTATTTATCGTCATTCGTGCATATTTTCATAGGCAATAAGAGGACCTCTTTTACGACATCTATCATTTGGCATCTTTACATTATTATCCTTTTAAAAATAGAGACAAGTCAAATGGTATGCTGTTTTGACTTGCTACTGGGCTAGCAAGTCAAAACTTGCTAGCTAATGAGCTAGCATGATGCTGCATTCGCGTTACAAAGATAATGTAGTAAAACCGGACTAGCCGAGGAAAATAGTAAAAAATGTTGGTGATTGTTTTTCGTTTGAAACGATGTTCATCTGCTACATTCTATACATATAGTTTTATGACAACAACTGAACCACATTCTTCCAACAGCTTCTTTTAATAGGGTGTGGGAGCTTTGTGACGGATTTTATTTTAGGTAACTAAATGAAGCTCTGCAGAAATACAATAGCCGGAACGTGTTGTGTAACCAAAGCAGTGGTACCACTGGAACAAAGGCGTTGTGTTACATTCAGGGCAGTTTCACAATGACTGACTTACCTTTTCTCACTCCTAAAGGTGGCTGATAAGTCATTCATTCCATATAAATTTTACAGTATGCATTTAGCAACTTAAATTCTAGCTTTTATCTGCTTAGTTGCAAAAATAATGAGATTATTCAATTTTTCTAATTTTTGTACGTATTGAATACAGACATAACAAAATTATGATTATGTTATGACAGAGAAGCCAGTTGTGACTATGCTGGTCAATAACACACCCACATGTAGGATTTTATGTAAGTCATTCATGATTTTAACTGTTCAGTTGGTTTCAAGAGCTAAAATTAAACATAATTTAAAATGTTATCTTTGTCTCTTATTATACGGTTGCAGTTTATTTTTCTCTATCTGACAAGTTATTTCAAGCTTTATTAGGTGTTGCGTTTGAAAGGAATTAATGTAGTTAAGAAATTCTGTCTTAACTATATTCATTGCAATTATTACATTAATTCCTGTAATAACATGAATTCATGTTATGAATTCATTTTATGACAAGGTTTAATAATTCTTTATTTCATGATTGACATCTGAGCAGTACTTTTCTTTCAAATCTGAGCAATATTTCAAGCTCCGAGGCTCCTAGGCATCACCTATGAGCCCTATTTGGCATCACAAGAAACTTTAAAATGTACAATAGCTAAAAACATGTTTTTAAAAGGTCCAAGTTTTCCAGTAAAGGTTTAATCAGGCTGCCAACCTTAGCATTAAGGGCTAACTTACCACATGAATAATAAACGTAAATATATTTCCATCTATAGCCCAGCCCCAGATGTAGTGACGTGTCTGAGTACACCCTGTTATATAAAGAACAAACATACAGCTCAACAAAAACACTCCCAAAAACTGACTGGGTCCTGATGGGAATTTTTAGTTAATATAGGCAGTCTTCGACTTCCCTCTCAACATGTGACTTCTGGGTTAATACCTGACACAGGTGTGCCACAGAGAGTTAGAGATTTGCTTGCAGGAACTGGTGTCATTGTAGAAATGTGCCCCAACATCATATTTCTCCATCTAATTTCCTCTTTTTTATGGAGGAAATATAGACAGCATGGGTGCAACCTTATTGTGACACTGGGATCACGTAGTCAGCGCCTTTGTTTTCAGAACAGAAAAACAAACATAGTGCATAAATGAGTGGTATTCTTATTCGGCTGATTTGGAACCGCCATTTTGAGACCTGCTGAAGACTTCAGGCAGACAAAACATGCCCTGTCTGAAACAAAATCAATCTCCCTCATCTCAGTCAGACTCCCAGAGAGCGGCCTTGGAGCGGCCTCTCGGCAGTCTGGCCCTGGATGGAGCCGGACACTGATGCTCTCCCCCGTCACATGACCGCTCCTCCCCCGGTAGGGAGTGACGGCCTCAGAAAGACCAGGGCCATCTATTCCCGTTCCCCCTGAATTTTGTTTTGGTTGATTTGTTGACCTTTTGTGTCTAAAGCGAGGTGAACGCCATGTTTCATGTGGGTTTATACCAGCTCTGTTGCTTCGATATGGACATATTTGGTATGTAAAAACCAGAAGCTCAGCTAAAAGCCATTACAAATTATCAATATACATAAAGTTTGCATTGCTTGTTAAGATTTCTTCACAGTTTTGCCAGTGTTTTAATCAACTGAACTGCTTATCATGTTTGAAAGTATAACATGCGTAAAATCCCTCGTAGCGACAATCTAAGATCACCACTGAACCATCTTGCATAATAAGGCTTTGAGAAGAAGGCTGAGTACTTGGAAAAAAGTGGTATGAGCGTGGGCAGAACATGCAAACGCAGAAGGCTCCAGCTGAGATTCAAACCAGACCAAACCAAACTGTCTCTGTGGCCTCTCACAACAAATCCATGTGAATTGCATCCACATGTAGATCTGTTGTACAGCATCCCTCTGCTGTAGGGGGAGCCACAGAGTAAAGAATCTGCCATAAAAAATGTCAAAAATTAAGCCAACTCTAATGCTTTCTGGTTTGTTCCGATCCTCTCAGCCTCATTCATAGTTCTCCTATGAGAATCTGTTCCTGTAAACTGTTTGTCTTATACATGCTTTAGCTCAAAAGCAGATTTGGGAGAATATTTATTTTAAAAAAAGCCCACATCCAAGCAATTCCAACGACCCACTGCAAATATTTGACTTTTCTATTTAAAAAAAACATCAAATAATCTTCATTTTTCTTGTTTCCTCTCATTTTGTTGTATTTAAATGGGGAATCATGATGACAAATTAAAGCTTCCTCTACTTTCAGAGTAAATATCTTTGCATATGAAAATATTTGCCAGTGTACTTTAGAAAATAACAGCTGGGAGGCAGTCAATAAATCAACTCCATTAGGTTTTAATGAACTTTTCCCAAGAAAACCTGATGCAATTTGACAGTAATTCTGTATGGATTCCACATCTTTAGTTTCAGTTTTTAATAAGGTTGCATTTTCACTCAAATGTTCTGGGTGCTGTCGATCATTGTGCGGTGGAACTGCTTTCAGTCCACAGCTTTTAATCCCATGCAAATTTATATTTGACATCTTTCATTTTGTCTTTGTAAACGGCGTCGAAGTGCTCCGCCTCTGCTGCTGTGAGCTGGTTCTTCCAGTCTCCAGCAATTCCTGAAACAGACAGATCAATTCCAGTTTGTTTGGATGTGTTCTTTTAAATCAGCTTCTTTGACTGGACTTACTAAGCAGAATGTGTTTGCTTTAGGTGTTTATTTTAATTTCCCCTGCTGTCATTTCTAAATTTCAGATGAAATGTACCTTTTCCCCGGCGACCCCATTGGGAAATAAGCGGTTACGATAATGGATGGATGGATGGATGGATGGATGGATGGATGGATGGATGGATG